CCCTAGAGATGGTTGTGCGTGAAAATCCCAGTAGATCAGCAGTTTCTGAAATACTCAGACCAGCCCTTCTGGCACCATGGTTGTTGGTGCCATGTTGTTCAAAGGCACTCAAATCACCTTTCTTCCCCATACTGATGCTCGGTTTGAACTGCAGGAGATTGTCTTGACCATGTCTACATGCCTAAATGCACTGAGCTGCCGCCATGTGATTGGCTGATTAGAAATTAAGTGTTAACGAGCAGTTGGACAGGTGTACCTAATAAAGTGGCCGGTGAGTGTATATTAACAGAAATATTATAGCGGCTTTTAAATGAAACTTCATGGTAAAAATTGTGTTTTACAAAAACTGAACAGGAACAAGATGAGATGACCATCAGGAGAGGAGACATAGTTAAACTGCTGGTAAAAGGTGAAGACGGGTGGTGGACGGTGGAGAGGAACGGGTACAGTGGACTGGTGCCAGGAAACTATCTGGGCAAAATTTGAGTAAATAAAGACGGACGTCTTCATCTGCCTCCATTTTGCAAACATGAAGCTAATTTATCAGGGCTACCATATTAAGTTTTTGAAGGAAGTGTTTGTGCACAAAGGATATTGAACTGAAAATTTAACATCCGCACACCCTCGTGATGTTAGAAAAGAATTATATTTGAACATACGGCCCAAAGGTTAGCACTATGAATAGTTTGGGGGATCTTTGTGTCTTCAGTGCCCTGAGACAACTTGGCGCTGTAAATAAAATGAATTAAACTTAATCATTGGAGGGTAACTCCATAAATAATCTGAGGTGTATTTTTATTTTTGCTAAGCATACTCATAAAGTTTTGAGTCACGTTACCCAGATTTTTTATATTTTGTAGTGGTCACCTATGGGGTGGAATAAACGTTCCACCTGTCTTTGTAAGTAAATTTTATAAGTGTACAGGTAATACACAGCAGATATAAGATTATTGATATAACAAAACACTGGAATGTAACAAGGAAGTAGGATTGTAAAGTAACTAAATACAAATCGTTACTGCGCTTAAATTTTGGTTATCTGTACTTGAGTAAATTTTTCAGCCTCTTTTTATTAGTTCTTTCATTTTCACACAATTTTCTGTACTTTCTACTACTTCCAATTTGTTAAATGTAAGACTAGGTTAGAGGAGACTTTTACTTATACTTTTACCAAAGTAATTTTATGGTGATATATATGTACTTTTACACAAGTATCACTATGAGTTACTTTATACAAAGACTACGAGGAAGTTGAAGCTGGAACTGCACAAGGGCCCCCACAGGCTCACTTCAGAAGGAGTTTTCCTCAACATAAACAATTTGGGCATTTATCTAATTAAAAATAAAAAATGCACATCAGTTTTTATAGTTTGTAATGATTCACATACTGTATTTCTTACCTTGCTTTTGTATTTGATGCCAAAAAGGAAAAAAAAAAGCAGGATTTTGTGCAAGGGAAGCAGGCGGGACTCGAAGACTAAAACTCTGCCAGGGCAGAGACGCTTTGTCTGACATTTTTATCTCCGTGTACAAAACACAAAGTCATGCAATAAGGAAAGATCATGCAGGTGAGCGCAACCATTTTAGGTTTCCACCTACAAGCATTTTTGTAAGACTTCTTGGAAAAAAGCTCTAAACATGAATGTCTACATCAGCTGCAGTACCCATGGAAACATCTTCCAGAAATATTTGAGAGCTAAAATTATATATAACTGCCCTTCTACCTCATGTGTTGCATAGACTCCTAAAGTCTTATTATGGAGAGAAGAATGCTTGAGTATTTATCTTTGCCAATAGCTACAGAATTTAGGAAAAAAAAGTTAATTTATTTTTACTTTCGCTCTGTCTGAGTAAACTATTGTTTTTTGTGTGTGGCTATTATGTGACTCAGGTAACATTGAAACTGCTCCCAACAGCTGAGTTTTGATACAATAGTTTGACCATTAAGAGTATTTACAGTCGTATGAAAAAGTTTGGGCACCCTTGTTAATTTTCCTGATTTACTTTTATAAATCATTGATTGTTTGGATAAAAAAAATCAGTTAAATATATCATATAGGGGACAAACGCAGTGATATGTGAGAAGTGAAATGAAGTTTAAATGATTTACAGAAAGTGTGCAATAATTGGTTAAATAAAATTAGGCAGGTGCATACATTTGGGCACCATAAAAAAAACCTTACCTCAGTATTTAGTAGATCCTCCTTTCACAGAAATAACATTCTCTAAACACTTCCTGCAGCTTTTAATGAGAGTCTGGATTGTCGCTGAATGTATTTTAGACCATTCTTCTTTATAAAACATCTCTAGTTCATTCAGGTTTGATGGTTTCTGAGCATGGACAGCTCTCTTTAAGTGACACCACAGATTTTCAATAATATTCAGGTCTGGGGGCTGAGATGGCCATTCCAGAACGTTCTACTTTTTCCTCTGCATGAATGCCTCAGTAGACGTTGAGCAGTGTTTAGGGTCATTGTCTTGTTGGAAGATGCAGCCCCGGCTTCAGCAGCTTCAGCTTTGTCACTGATTCCTGGACATTGGTCTCCAGAATCTGCTGATATTGATTGGAATCCATGCGTCCCTCAACTTTAACAAGATTCCCAGTCCCTGTACTGGCCACACAGCCCCACAGCATGATGGAACCACCCCCACATTTTACTGTAGGGAGCAGGTGTTTTTCTTGGAGTGCTGTTTTCTTTTTCCTCCATGAATAACTGCCCTTGCTCTGTCCAAATAACTATTTTAGTTTCATCAGTCCACAGCACCTTATTCCAAAATGAAGCTGGTTTGTCCAAATGTGCTTTAGTATACCTCAAGCAGCTCTGTTTGTGATGTGGGCGGAGAAAAGTCTTCCTCTGCATCACTCTCCCATACAGCATCTCCTTGTGTAAAGTGTACTGAATAGATGAACGATGCACAGTGACTCCATCAGCAGCAAGATGATGTTGTAGGTGTTTGGTGCTGGTCTGTTGGTTGACTCTGACTGTTCTCAACATCCTTCACTTCTGTTTATTGGAGATTTTTTTTGGTCTGCCACTTCCAGCCTACACCTAAACTGTGCCTGTGGTCCTCCATTTTCTCACAATGTTTCTCAAAGTGGAGACTGAAAGCTGAAATCTCTCAGATAGCTTTCTGTATCCTTCCTCTAAACCATGACGGTGAACAATCTTTGTTTTCAGCTCATTTGAAAGTTGTTTTBAGACTCCCATGCTGCCACTCTTCAGAGAAGATGCAAAGGAGAAAAATCTACAATTGCCCCCCTTAAATACCCTTTCTCATAATTGGAGTCACTTGTGTATGGAGGTCAAGGGTCACTGAACTTACCAAACCAAATTTGAGGTCCAATAATTAGTTTTAAAGGTTTTGAAAACAGCAACGGTGCCCAAATCTATGCACCTGCCTAATTTTGTTTAACCAATTATTGCACTTTCTGTAAATCATATAAACTTTATTTCACTTCTCAAATATCACTTTTTGTCCCCTATATGATATATTTAATTGATATTTTTAATCCAATCAATCAATGATTTATAAAGGTAAACCAGGAAATTTTAACAAGGGTGCCCAAACTTTTTCATGACTGTAGTTTCAATTTTGTGCAGCTTCTATCTGTAAAAACAGCTCACAATGAAATATATTAAAACAGAAACAAGTTAGTATTAAAATGAGTTACTTGTTTTAAACACTTTCATTTATTATGCAACGTGAATAAAATTCCAATTAAAAAAACAGTTTGATGACACGTATGTGTTTATTTGTCTCCTGTGCATTCTTCCATCAAACACAACTTTATTTCTCACATTTGTTCAGCAGCACGAGGTGGAATACAGAACTATAGGGTCAACTAAACACTTCAAAAGTAACGGTGTACAATTTCACAGAGTTGTATAAAACAACATGTTATAGTGCTTTAAATCAGGTTTCTAACTAACAAAACCACACTGAAGTCTTTAACAAACTGAATCTACAGGTACGAGTCTTTAAGGTAACACTGATCATACAAATACTGGATACTAGAAGGTTGCTTTATACTGCTTATTGTGTGAATGCCATTAGGCATTCACACTATTGTTTTTGTTTTTCTCTTTATTATTATTGTGTGAATGCCATTAGGCATTCACACTATTGTTTTTGTTTTTCTCTTTATTGTGTGAATGCCATTAGGCATTCACACTATTGTTTTTGTTTTTCTCTTTATTATTATTATTATTATTATTGTTACTATCTTCTTCCGTACGTTTTTCGGCACGTATCTCGTCCCACAGTTTTTGTCCGATTCGTACAATTCATATATCAAAACG